TTTGCGCTCCATCCTTGAAGTTGAAGACCTCTTACAATAATTGCAAATACACTCTAGCCTCGAGATACACTCTAGGACTGAAAGACCTTCTGGAGCAGTGTTGGCAATGCCACTGGCATGCCCGTGACTTGCCACATTTGCCACAAGCCATGGCATGCCCGTGGAGAGATGGCCAATGGCTTTTCACGCTATGTGTGTGGATTGGTGGGAGTACACGGGCATGCCACGCTCAATGGCATGTGGCAATGGCATCCACACATGGCATTGCCAACAACTGAGGAGACCATCGGATCAACAGGATAATCATACGTCACATCAAGTATTCGGTTGGTAACCGAAGAGTTAACTGCATAGCTTGCTTCTCTTCTGCTTCTGTTCTTCATTTTGCCTTTCCTTTATATAACGACCCTTTACGAGTTTCTTTTTCCCTTATACTCCTTTCTTTCCATCTCCATGCAACAACCCCAACAGCCCTATCCCGGGCCTACGCCTAATTACGGAGGCTATGCTCAGCAACCAGTACCTTCACAAGATTACGACCAGAAATCACCCTACGAAGGTGAAAGATTCAAGCCCAAACGCACGATAAATGATCCTATTTTTCTCGTTTTCTTCGTGCTACAGGTATGATCAACCGATCCTGTTCTTCTTCGCTCGTGTCCTGACCATATATTGACATCTAGTTCCTTGCGTTTGCAGCGCTTTCTGGGATCGTAATCAACTCCTGGATATCGAGTGGTGGTCTGGGGGGCGGTCTTGGAAAGTCGGGCGGCCAGTCTGGTACTGCCGTCACGCTTAATCAGTGTGTCAAACTGTTCTCGCTCTTGCCTCTGCTTGTTGATCATATTGCTTGCAGGCACACAGTCTATTTGCTACTCCTGGTTACAGCAGCTGCGCTGCTGCTTTCCACAGTCTACCTCATGCTTACACGCTACTTCACGCGAACGATTATGCACATCACTCTTGTACTATCAATAGTGCTGAACATGTACGTCATTCGAAGCATGAATATCTTCAGAGTGCCGGTCGTTTAACAGTGCATTACAGTGGTATCTGCGTCTATTACTGGATTACAAGATACTGGTGTTCGTCTTGCCTCTATCTCTGCCCCTGACTCACTGTCTAATCTGAGCCTTTGTAGCTGCCGCGATCATCTTCACAGTATTCGCTCTCCTATCTATCTTCGCCTACTTTGGCTTCAGGTCTCGCATCCCGCTTGCATCTCTGCTCCTTCAGATTGTTATAGATGTGGCCAAGCATCATAAGAGTGTTGGGGTCGTGGCTTTCACTGCCCTCTTTGTGCAGGCCGCGTTGGCTGTGTAAGTCGTCCACCGGAACTTAATCGTGGCTTTATACCTATTTTGACTGTTTCTCAAGATGGTATACGTTTACTACGATTGCTACGTAAGTCCCTTATAATAACGACCATGATCGGACCAGTACTGATACACGTGTAGTTATGCCAAATACACGCCAGGTAATCCCAGTAAGTAGTTTCCCACTCCTCTTGTTTAGTTACTTACATGGATGGAAAATTAAAAGATTGTGCGACGACTAGCTGCTCATCTGGAAAAGTCGCGGGCCTCATCTTCTTTGAGACATTCTCTTTTCTCTGGACCTCGCAGGTCGTCAAAAACGTTGCTATTGCCACCCTCGCAGGCGGGCCCTTCGGGGCGTGGTACTATTTCGGACCTCGCCAGATGGGGGAGATGGTGCATGAATTCAGTTTGAATTTTGTTGCTTGTAATTTACAGTCGAAATGTTATTCTAGCCGAAGCATCCCACGGTATCTGCCTTTGGTCGAGCCTCTACATGGTCCTTGGGATCTATCGCGTTTGGATCGCTCATCGTCACGCTCCTTGAGCTCCTCAAATTGCTTTTGGAGATGATACGCAATAATGCTAACGCTGATGGCCATCGTACGTGCGCCTTCTGGATTTAATTATGTTGTGTTGATTGTGCTTCTGTTTCAGCTGTCGAGGCCTGCCTAGCATGCTGTGCAGCGTGTTTCATTGGTTGCATTGAGGGTATGGTAGAGTGGTTCAACAGGTAAGAGTGCTTTCGTAAGTATAAATCGACAAATTGACAGAGTTTTTTAGATACGCTTATATCGAGATTGGTATGCACTTGTCTGGTGGTCTTAATGCCCCCGTTCTAAATTTCGTTTAGCTCTGTACGGCAAGCCGTATATTACCGCCGCGAAGGATACATGGAGGCTTTTCAAGGATCGAGGTACATATTCTGCGTCGGACAAACTTTCCTCAAATTCATTTTTGTTAAATATAGGCATTGACGCCCTGGTCAACGATTCCCTCATTGGAATGAGTACGTCATCCAGTCTCTGTCATGACAATCCTGGGCGCTTATAACAGAATATAGCTCTAACTTGGGGAGCCTATGCAGTTGGCATACTGTGTTCCCTCTTCGCCTACCTTTATCTGCGTCGTAAGTACCTTGGACCTCAAAATGCCAAGATGACTGACACGGCTGCAATGTATCGCAGTAACCCATCCATCGTACAACGTAGACGGCAACTATACGGCGCCTGTTGTGCTGTTTGCGTTCCTGATCGGGATACAATGCTGTTAGTCGCCACCTTTCCTCGATCTTTTGTCCCGAAGTTGACTTGCCCCCTCTTCCTTCAGCTTTGACGTTGTCCTCTGCTATCGAGGCTGGCGTATCGACAATGTAGGTCGAATCGATTGAAGCTAGATCAGTCTCCCTGACGATGTTATACCAGATTCGTCGGCCTTGGTGAGGATCCACAAGTGTTGGCTGTTAGGGCCCCACAGCTCTTTGGCGTGAGTTTGATGATCTAGATGACTACTGTCATATGCTCAAGCGTCTTCGTTCTTGCAGCTCATTGCAGCTACATATCCCAAGGTGACCTCTGGCGTTCCTCAAGTTTGAAGCACGGATGCAGGATTGCTTTCTTCCTTGACATGAACACTTCTATCACGAAATATGACTACGACACATGACGAACGTACCATACCAAGACCTGTAATTAGTTCTTTTCTTGTAGTCCATACGCGTACCAGACCGGTATTTGACCAGCGATTTCCCGGTAATCAACCGGTCGTACAAGATGTGATTGTAAAAATACTGGAAAAAAGTTCCATTATCCTTACACTCATGTTACTCGTGACTGAAGGCAGACTCTGTCGGATAATTTACCATTCACAATTTACCCAACACATGATCCACCCAGATGACCGCCGAGTAGTTTTTGGAGCGGACCGCGTCGCTCCTGGCTGCTCCTGGCCGCAGTAGTCATGCTTCTATTTCCTACCTTTGCAACGACCTGGGCATCGCGTTGAACATCCCGGAGACACTTCGCAAAATGTTCAGTAATAACTAGCGGTATAAATGGACTGACCGTAAATTATGGGTGGCAACTCTACCCCTCTTCGGTGGACCCAGAATCTTTACAGGCTTAACCATGCTTCCAGCATTCGCCAAACTCGCCGCTATCGCAGCCTTGGCTCCGTTTGTCCTCTCTGTCCCTACCAATGAGTTGACTAAACGCCAGTCGATCGATACTACAACCCACTGCGGTACGCTTCTACTTTTTTCTTCGCCTCTCGAAATTATTTGCTGAAGAAGGTGGTTAATAGGTCAGTGGGATACCGTCGTTGCTGGCCAGTACACCCTCTACTTGGACCAGTGGGGTGAATCAGGTGCGACTTCTGGATCTGATTGCGCTACCCTCACGTCCTTGAGTGGTACCACGATCGCCTGGAACACCAACTGGACTTGGACTGGTGGAACTGGCGTCAAGAGCTTCACTAACATTGCCCTCGACGACGGATTAAACGTCCAATTGTCTACCCTCAAGAGCATCCCCGTAAGTCAATGTCTTGGCTGTGGCGTACAGTAAGTTCGTAATGCAGGTATCTCCTTCCAGACTACGTGGGACTGGTCCCAGGCCAACACTGGCACAGTCGTTGCAGATGTTGCCTACGATATCTTCACCTCTGCCACCTCGGGCGGCTCGAACGCGTACGAAATCATGATCTGGCTTGCTAACTACAACGCTGGACCAATTTCTTATAACTACGATTCCTCTGGTAACCCTGAACCCGTTGCGACAGGCATCAGCCTTGGTGGCCAGACTTGGTTTGTTTTTTCAGTCATCCATGCGCGTAAAACTAATGGTTGCACACAGGGACCTCTACTACGGAGATAATGGCTCCAACTACGTTTACTCTTTCCTTCCCGCCACCAGTGGCACGACCGTCACCAGCTTCAGTGCTGATATCAATGAATTCCTCCAGGTATGTGTTTTGGCGATTAGAATCATGCCCGAATTAATAGCCATCCTATCCTTGTAATTAGTACTTGGTCACCAACGAGAGCTTGAGCAGCGCACAATACCTGACAACCCTTCAGGCAGGCACTGAAGCTACGTCTGGAACTGCCACCTTGACTACGTGAGCTGCTTCACACTACTATCGTAGCGTATCGAGCTGACGCGTTCCCGCTCCTTAGATCGGCTTATTCCGTCGTTGTTTCTTCTTCCGCTTCTTCCTCTTCCTCCTCTTCCTCCTCCTCTTCTTCTTCCTCCTCCTCTTCCTCTTCCTCGACTAAGACGACCGCCACCACGTCGACCGCCACCACGACCTCCAGCGCCTCCAGCGCCACCCAGACCCTCTACGGTCAATGGTGTGTCACTATTTCTATTCTTTTCAATGCATTCATAGGTTAACATAAATACGTTCTAGCGGTGGAGAGGGCTGGACTGGCCCCACCACCTGTGCTGCTGGAAGCACATGCACTTACAGCAACGCCTACTACAGCCAGTGCATTGCTTCTTAGATGAAAAGTCACGAGGTACTAGTGTAATCATGTAGTTTTCTGTGCAATTGACTTCGTAAACCTTTTCTTTGGGATACCACCACGTCCTGGCGTTCATGGAGAATGTCTTCGCTTTGGAGAGGTCCTTGCGAGGGATAAACCGCGTATGCATGTGAACTCAAAAGCTAGCCAAAAATTACAACGTCCTTGTCGATTAGTGGTTAAATCATCTCGTTGTGGCGCACAGCAGCTCCGAGAAGCCGGAAGTTCGAATCCTCCCTGGGACAGTCTTTTTGAACTCCATTGTAGTACAACGTCGCTCGTCAAGACGAGTCTTTTTTGAACCTCTTTTTATCGCGATCTTATGCAAGGAGATTGATATTCAACATGGCCGTGGATATACAGTACACACAGTATCACAAGTGACAATATTACACTGCAACTATAAGGGTTCAAAGCATGATGCAGGGGACGTGCAAGAGAAGGTATGGTCAACGACATGCGAAAATTACAAAAAGGGAATTGGATAATTAGTATGATGCAGAAAGCCCGAAAGGGCCAGAGAATGTATGTATGGCTCAACGTCCAGTATATGGCCATTTTATGTTTATCATCACTGCTCAGGACGGGTTACGCGGTTTGAGGAGTCACATGCTTGAAGCGAACGACGAGGACAGTCACATTGTCAGTGGTATGACGCGATAACGCGTATTTCAGGAGCTTTGCACTTGCTACTTGGGCATCGGGGATTTCACGGACAAGATCGATGGCACTTTGATCGTTGGCGACATCCCATAGCTGGAAAAGGTCAGTACTGAAACATACACAGGTCAGAGATAGACCTACCCCGTCGCACGCTAGCACCAAAAACTCGTCTTCATCGCATAGCTCCGTCTCAGTAGTATACGGCGAACCGACGACGAATTCTTTCATCGAAGAGTCACCCAAACTCCGCGTGACTGCCAAGACGCCATTGACACGTCCACTCATGACGAATCCACCCGCGTCCGTTATCCGCTTCGCCTCCTGCTTATCCGAGCCTTTGTGATCGTAGGTCAGTCGCACTGCTTTCCCACCGCGACACAACACCGCACGTGCGTCACCCGCGTTCGCGGTGTACAAGACGCGTCTCGATTCAGACGGGGGAACGGTTACCGTCATGGCCAGTGCGATATGTGATGGGACGGGTGACCCAGATCGAGGGGTAGGCGGTGAAGAGGACGAACCCGCGATACCGCTGGCGAGGCTCATTAACGCTTTCTTGAAGCGACTGCTGCTTGAAGATTTTTTCTTTTTGGGTTTCTTCTGTTCGCCATTGACGCTACCAGTGCTCTCGGCGCCGCTGCTATGGGGACTCTCGGGTTCGTTGTTAGGTCCAGAGATGGATGAAGCAGAGCTGGGCGAGGATGGTGATGCGCTGATGAAGGATTGGTGTCCATCGGCATCTTCGATACGGAGGAAGGCAGTGACAGCGGTGCACCCGGAGTGGATCTTTCCCTCGGACTCTTCGCACATGCGAGAAAGAGCCTCATCGACTTTATGGAAAGTCTCGTTCAAAATATCGGGGATAGGCATAGTGGGCGAAGTATGCAGTGAGGCAAGAAAGTACTAGATAAAATTATTAGCGTCTTTCTGAATGGGTTTGAGTTGGGCGTACCTCGTGAAAATGAGATCCACACCATTCGGCTGCGTGCTTTCCGGCGTGTCCATCGAAGACTGCGAAGAAACCCTGTCCTCTAACGGCATCAAAGTCGACCACGAACGAATGAGCGTCCTCCATCGTTCTCCGTGTCCCTCTATCTTCGGATACTCCGACTTGGTACGCGGTATTTTTCGTCGCATGTCGATTCAGGACCTGTAATGAACGAATAACGGATGTCAGATGAGCTTTTATGAAGTGAAGTGTGATCGCACCCCATAGGTCTCGAGTTCTACGGCAGTGATAGACTTTGAACGCGCATTAGGAGAATCGGAGAAGCGGGGCGGCATGATAGTCAGGTTTTTGAGATCAGCAAGCAAGAAGACGTTAAATCAGAAATGCGCCGGATTGGTTGAGACTTGGGATAGAGAAAAGTGGGCGAGGGAAAGAGAAGTAATTCGGGCCGACGGTGGTTGTAATGAAGCTATATATTGAATCTAATGAGTCAGCGGAGTTTCGGGTTATATGTGAAGGGATAGTTACGGGGAGGATAGGAAGAGAAGGAGGAGGAGGAGTAAGTGGTCAGTTAAATGGGAAACCAAGTTTTGTAATTGTTGCCATCTGCCTTGGCCACCAACTTTATTAGGCTCCTATTGTACCCTCTGGGCCACAACAATCATTCATGACCATCATCATCATTCTCACTAGCCCAAAGCCAATGTCCTGCTACAGCTTGATCACGATTCTTCAGAAAGGTTCTATGACTCCCCTAACAGCACAGGAGTAGGGTCAACACTTCATGCATCTCCTTCAATCGAGCTTCTTGCTGGGTCCATTAAACTTTGCTGCTTTACAATACACCAAAAAGACTTATTCCGCTTTACATTCTCCTGCCGCTCTCATGTCCTGGCCACTGCTCTCCTTGGACACCCTTCTTCACCATTGCTAGACCCAGAAGCAGCTCCCTTAATAAGCAATGCAATAAATGAGCCTTGTACGGCAAAAACAGAGGCAGAAGTCTTACGTAGAGGCAGATCGAGTCTCCATAACTAATCCGTGTTCAATTCAATCCAATCAGTACCTGTCACTATGACTCGGAACCCACAATGGACTCCGAAATGAGACTCACTTGCAGGTAAGCGCCCAATAAGTCCTCGTCTCGCTGGTGAGCGCTACCCCGTTCGTGTTTGCTGATGGACAGGCGAAGCTTGATGGCTGTATCTCGAATCGGTCAGCTGGCGTCAACTAAAATCACTTCGACGCACAGTTTGGTGGGTATGGTCAGCTTGCGCGAGAGCGGCCAATGATAGGACGGAGCAGACTGTCAGGAGGAATTGGAACTGCATGGTTGCTTGTTTTGACCGTTTGGATAGGTTGGGGGTGGTATATCGCGCCTTGGATTGAGAGGTTTCAATTATGTTGCCCTTTTATCCCTGTCTACGGCGGTGGATGCATCAGGGTACCAGGTCGCGCTTATGCATGTCGTTGGATGGAACCTGGGTCCTTTGGGATGCTTGTCAGTACTATGGCTTGAGAGTTACTGTGATACGATGGTGGGAAATAAACCCACTGCATCCTGTAGTTGTGAAAGCTAATTTAGGTCGGGCACGCGAATATGTGGGGCGTCTATGTAAGACATAAAACCCACTGTAACTTCGTTGATTGGCGTGATCAATGGCACGTTGACGGGTGTAAGTACTAGTACACTATACATACATAGTAGTTACAATATATGCGTATTGTACAAGTGAGCTAAAATCTTTCACCATAATACAATCCTTGATTTATACCTATAGACGATGGCCAAAAGATCAGGTCTAGGGTTTGAGCCTCATTTCATGGCCTACAAAGACTGTCTTAAATGGAGGTGGGGAAATAATAGAACATGCATACGGGTGAAAGAATTAGAAATCAGGACTCAAAGCATATAGACCTTCAATATTTTCGAGGTTTCAAGCGCACTACCATAACAGTTACATTATCGCGGGTTTCCTTCTCCATAGCGAGATCAAGAAGCATTTTACTTGCGATTTTAGGATCCTCGACGTGTTGGATATGATCTACTGCTTCCTGGTCACTAAGGACATCCCAGACCTACGAGAGATGGAACAGATTAGCAAACTCTCTAATCGATCGAATTCAACTCCATGACACCTACACCATCGCAAGCCAAGATAATGAAATTATCGTCATCGTTAAGCTCCACTCTCTTCGTATAGGGCGTTGAGACGACAAACTTCTTGATAGAGTATCCCTGTTGTGCTTCATGGTCACCTAAGCCTCGAGTTATGTTCAGCTGGCCAAGGACCCGTCCACGCCAAAAGACACCCCTCAGATCTTTCACTCGCTTGATTTCTTGGGGATCAGAGACCTTGTGGTCGTACGTCAATCGTTCGGCGATGCCGCCTCTGGACAACACAATGCGGCTGTCTCCAGCATTAGCGGTGTATAAAACCCGCCTCGCGTCAGCAGGGGGGTTTGTATAGGGTATATGTGGTGGTGGGAAATCTGGGGTTGGTTTATTGGGAGCGTAGTAGTCAAGGAGGGCCGAAGAGCGGGCGGGTGCAAAAGACTGTGCACGAGGGTCTGTTTTTACTTTCGGACCATTTTGCCTCTCGCTTTCAGGTATATTTTTACCGCTGTCCTTTTCCTGACCACCACCCTTGTCCTGGGCATGAGGTGTATTCCAGTCTACCTTTTCCTCGATGTACTTGTCTTCGAATCTCAGGAACGCCACGGCAGCTGTACATCCAGAGGCCGCCCAATTAGCAGATTCGACAGAACGTTTCGAAAGTGCTTGATCCATTGAATCGAACATATCTTTGAATACATCTTCGATCGGTGCTTTAGGTTTGTCAGAAATTGCTTTGAGGAGGTGCTGTAATCGAACGTCAGTGGTGATAACAATCTGTGGCGAGGAGGCGGGGCACCTTGTGAAATTCGCCCCCAGCCCATTCAGCAGTGAGTTTGTTGCCATGTCCATCAAAGATCGCAAACAGGCCCTGACCACGTATAGCGTGGAAATCGACTACGAATCCATAGCTGTCCTCCATGCTGGGCCTGTGCCCAATAGTTTCGTGGACACCAATCTCATAGGACTCTGACCTGGATGGGAGCTGATTGAGAGCCTGAAAGATAGCCGATCAGCACTGGGCATGTAATAGATTATTGACATCGCAGACCCCATATGTATCAGGCCCATCTGCAATTGTTATGGGTAGTACTGTAGCATTTGGGTATGGGCTATTGTGTGGCGTTTCTTGAGGATGAGACGGCTTGGGATACACAGGTACTCACAGAACTGTAGTCTTTTCATTTGGTGTTGAGGGGTCTAATCAGATTCGATTTAAACGACAGAGGGTTAGAGATCTGTGGGAAGATTTCGTACATTTTTCCTCATCTCCTGGATCCATGATGGGCGTAAAGAGTAAAAGGTAACAGAACTGAGTGGGTACTTTATAAGTACAGGTGTAGGGCCAAGGGGTTTACTAGTTATAAACAAAGGAAGGCACGAATGACTCAGGCGCTGTGTAGAGCTCTGAAGGAGTAATGATAAAATCTAGATCATGAGGACTCACAAGATAGCAAGACCAGCTAGCGCTTATCTGAAGGGACGTGGCGGACTTTATACACGGACACTGCCCTTTG